GAAGCCCCCAATATACAGTGGTATGAGTGCTCTGAGATGAAGATACTTTCGTCACATTGTAGCAATATTTGAGACTAAAAGTTTATGGAGGGGTTGGTGTTCCCACCCTACTTGTTGCCAGAAGCTTACGGGCTGAGACCGTGCTAGTGCAGACACCGTCGAATTCATAGATTAGTCTTTAGCTTTACTGTTGTACTGTACTTTGATCGTCCAGCATCCTAATCATTTCAGATTACATACCCGCACAGTGTAAGCTTTATCCCGGCGACTTAGCAGCTCACTTGCCCAATGGGATATCGCACCAAGTATGATAAATTCAAACCTACTCCAGTGGGGTACTAGCCCCTGGAAATTAGATATACCAATCAAGTAGGCTGGGAGCATTAAGGTCTCACCGCCCCGGTTCTGCGCAGTTCTAACGGGGGATTCGGGGCTCACGACCCGTGAACTGGAAAAATAAGCCGCGACGCTACTGTCGACTTTGTAGCTAGTTTGCGGTTCTCTCCGCAGCATTTTTCTCCTATCTATGGGTTTTGCCAAGTCACCAGCGAAATTACACTGAGCCAAGGGGTCCCACTACGTACCACCAGGGACCGCTTCAAACCTCAATACACATCCCAGACTTGACCCAGCACGGTTAGATCCCCCATCGCAGTACCAAACTTTGACCATCGGTTGTAGTATCTGGTAAGGTGATCCAGGATATTCTCTAGGAATTAAATTTATATGTATCGGGCATCAATTGCCGAACTCCCTCTGGTTGGCCCAATAGCCACGGCCCCTCAGGACGGGATTTTCTCTAGCCAGTCAACAAGAGTTCGGCAGACTTTTCTCCTTCACCAAAAGTCGTAGATTGGCCATACGGCCACAGAAAAAAAACAAGAACACGGTTACTCTCATAGCCATTTCAACGAATCAACCAAAGTTCGACAGGCTTTTTATTTATATTTATAAAACTTCTCGATTGTAGTACCTAACCCAACTGCAATACTATGAGCGTTGTATATGCACCGGCATGTCTGCCCTAAACAAAGAACAAAGCAAACAAAAACCAAATACCCAAACCTAACCATGCTCCCTTCCACCCTCTTTCGCATGTATCATCTCTTCCTCCCTCCTCCTTTTTTCGACAGGATTATGCTCGCACCCTAAGCACTCAAAGACTGCTCCCAACAGGCACGACAAGGCCCCCGACACCTTGAGCCTACACTTCAGAGATTGCCCAATAACATCTCCTGAGAGTCTCTTTCCGTACCCTCAACCCCAAGGCCATGGCTCCCATCCCCCACTGGAGGTACGTACAACAGCGGAGCAGAACACAAAAAATAACGCAGGCGCAAGGCCCTGGTTGGTGGCTTAGATGATGTATAATATTTAGTCGGCCGCCGGGATATGCATGTGGCTGGCGAGGAATATGCACGCCTTACCGTACTTGCATTGCCCTCTAGACGTCATAGTTCACCCAACCCACAAGCTCTGTCCACAAACTCTGGTAAAGGATCGAAAGAGGGCTACCCAGACTCGGGGTTTTCGGCTCGCAGGAAGAAAGGGGTCAGCTGGTACTGAGCATTAATCCCAAGGCCAGGAGCCCGGCCAGATTTTCCAAGAAAGCGTTACGTATATAACTCCCTGCCCTCTTCGAACCTCTCTCACAAATTCACCGTCAATGACCAGCTAACTCTTGCAACATCCTCGTTTCCTTAATTAGAGTAAACTTGCAGGTAAATCCCGATTGGCTACAGGGGACCTTTCATTCCGAGTTGGAGCAGAACAGTGCTGACAGCACCTCCCCCACGCACTAAGGCTCCCAGCTTCGCACGGCGCAATTTTAAGAAGAGTATCCCAACTTAAACCCCTCACGCAATGCCTTTCGCACCTTTATATTCCCCAGATTAGGTGTCCGAGTGTTGCACCCACCTAACCCACTAATGATCAAGGGGCTTTCCCCGATCACAATAAGGTTACACCCCAGGGATCTCTCTAGCTCTACCGGTCGACATTGCCGCGCTAAACAAACCTGTTACAGAAATCTTAATGTTATAAGTTGGGATGCAATAGGGTTAAGAGCACACGGCCAAATGACCTATGACATCCCCAATTGATTGACATGAGATAATCGCAAACCCAAGATACCAAAACCGCGCCTAGGTCTGAAATCGACCCGAGAACGTCCGTATAGCTGCATCGCATATGCGCTACAAGAGCGGAGTATTCACTCCCTATCCAAGGATTCCGCGGCTAACTCACTGGAATTCTGCTCGCTGGGACTATTTGAAACCACGATGCATATCTAGTACCACATATCACAAACACCTCTCGACTTGCACCCATCTCCCAAATGACGTATTTGCCCCAGGAATCTCATCTCATAAAATGCTCCCCCGATATGCATTTGATGCGCTGTCTTCTTACGAGGCCGTGCATGCAGCTCAGATTGAGCTTTTTCCCCGGACGGGCGGCGTGGGGGTGGTCGTAGAATCACACAATCGAGAATAGTGCGAAGTCTCTAGAGGATCGAACCACCACCATGAGCAACAAGCTCCCCTTAACGTAGGTTAGGGAATAAAACTCCCCATACAAGCTATTGCCGCCGTCAAACGTCTCTCTCGCTATCACGCATTCAACACTTTCCCTACCAAATTCTACCAGGGTGAGCAATTCGAGTGATTGAGCATGACTAGCACTAGAATGGTAGGACACCCATGACGTGTGGCCTTGATGCCGGCCGGCCGGGGATATGATACGAGGCCCGAAATTATGCAATGTATCCCTTCCCCGCAAACACGAGGGAATTACTTACGCCTTCCTGCAGGCCGAACTCCCACCTTCATGGGGTTCAGGGGAATGCAGTCGTCTTCGAAATGGATAACCGGGGCCACCATGCAGAATTCGGCATCCTCAGCCAATTGCGATGCTCAAAGTAGCCTGATGTAAATCTACCGGTCAGGAATCATCACTCGGAATATTTTGAAATGGATCAAAATAATACCCCAAGTACAACCATTGACTAGACCCCAAGCGCCCCGCTCGCGATACTCGGCGGTACCCCTCCCGGCTTACTTTGTTTAGAGGATGACGGCTTTATTTTAATCATTGCGGAAAGCTAAACTGCCAACGCAGAAGTGGTAGTCGACATTGGAATACCGGCTGCTGCCCATGAATCAGCGGTCCAAGAACGAAGTGGATTGGCGTAGAAAAAAGGGAGAATTGAATCCAACCAAAAGTTGCCTTCGATCACATGGTGTAGGGGATTGGAAAGTCACAGACTGTTCATTCGATATATCGTTCTGACTGGTTCAGCGGGCCAATACCCGTACCGTACTCGTACCGCGCATTCAACGGGGGGACAACCGGCAGTTGCAAACGGAATACTCGAGGACTAGCTTCCGCACCAGATATCACCCCCGATCCCTGAAAACCGAAGGCGGCGATTGGGAGGTGAGATTCATATCATGGTGTAAACTATTGTCCAAAACACCGCAGATAAACTCCGGGCCGGACTGAACCCAAGAGTTCCCGGAGAGATGCTTGTCGACGGTGGAGGGCCGCAGCTGCACGACCGCCGCACTTGCCCCCCCAAATTGGCCGGTGATTGCGGTAGGGTCATATCATGGATTTATCCGATATACTAGCTTTGGCAGCCACCGATATTGCTGGAATGAAGTTACTCTCCCGACCATTCCTGGGAGCTCATGTCTGCCATTTATCGTTTGCTAGGAGCAAGGGAAAAGGCGGGACGACTAGCGAGCCTCTTTTGCTCCGATAATCCCAAATGAGCACCACGCAGCACCGATTGTATCCGTGCAGTAACTTCTCCCTGAGGGCCACCCAAGCACAGACCATCATTATTCTCTCCCATGAAAGGTATACTCGATTATTCAGGCCGAAAGCTCTGTCGAATGCGATAGACTAGCCGATATTGGGCTATCTTGGCATAAATAAACCTATTTTCTCTTTCTTTTTCTCGCGAACCCATTGTGGGAGGCCAGTCTCTATAGTTAGTATTGCTGTAGGGTACTCGAGTATAAGTTATCTACCGGTACTTTCACAATGCTTGCCGGGGTGCACGAGTCGAATGAGCCAGAGTTTCAACCAGCTCCATAGCGTTTATGGGTGGCAGGCTGCGGTGAGGAAATCGGGACGCGCTCAGTTACTCACACCCTCGCCGCTTTTGCTCGACTAAGACTAAATAACCCCTCACTTGGGCGATGAGCATCCCGGACTATCTAGGCAACCTGCGAAGGTCTCCTACGAATAGATTCATGAACCGGCAAACCATACTTGAGTTCCCCTTCAAGAGTAGCAGTTTATTTGGAGCCATACCGATTACCTGTACAAGCAAAACTTAGGTTGACGCTACCGATAGCGACAGGATCGTAGTCTTCAGCCATCAGAGAATACAGTGACCTCGGGGTGTGCTAGCACTCGAGGATACTTTGGTTAAAGGATATGGTGTATGTGTGGCTTTGGCCAATTTAAGTAGACGCTTCATATTATATGTTCCCCGAAGCAGACTCATCTTAGTGGTACCTTCTTTTATTTCACGAGAGGGGGAAGTTGAGAGGGAGGAGCATGAAAAATGCTTCATGGAAAGCGCCGGGGTTCCCCGCAAGAGTTAGCAGCCGAGAACTATGGTAGTATGCCGGCACGCGAGTAAGGTATGTCTGTCCGCACCGTATGTATCATACCCGGGCACATACGACCATGAGTTAGATTCTGATTGTAGCCCACGTCATATGACTTGAGCCTCTTCTCTTTTCAGCTCAGGAAGGAGGGAAGGCCGCCTGGGCTTCGCTGATGCCGCGAAGCGGTAAATTTAAAAAGGTGCCCTTGGTTGTAGCAGCGAATAACCCCCTCTTTCCCCAGCCTTCTTCTCACCCTCTCCGCTCCCGACACCTCCTGAACCCTTTTTTTATTTTTATTTTATCTATATATTACCCACGGACAGCCGTGCCTGTAGATTTTGAGAGTTTCCTTTTCCTTTCCGAGGGAGCTGCTTCACTGCACTCCACCATCTTTCCCCATTATCGTGCTCAACCCGCTCAACAAGCCCCTTCCCCCCTCACTTGGAAAATACCTGTACTGCCCCGCCGCCCCCCTCTCCCATCCGTTTAAAAGCATCGGTGTCCTGCCGAACGTTCTTCAGTGTAGTGCACTCCCCTTTCCCTCTATTTCCGCTTCAGCTTCGAAATGGCAACCTACGGTGGCACCGGCGGGTATACGAGCTATGGTGGATCATATGATAGTGGGACGGCTAGACAGGATATGCTTCCATTCTTTGTATCCGGAGAAGGCATAAAGCGACAAGTAATTCAAACCGATTTGCCTCGGTACCTAGGGAATAATGCTTATTCGAGACCGGGGAAGAGCCGGCAGGTACCTAGTTTCTATCCTCTACATCCAATGTTCCCAGTTGACTGACTTGTTTTTCAGGGAGTCGATGGCTACTGGTACACCGCTTACAGGCCTCTAACAGATGTACGAACTACTCCCTCTGGCCATCTAGACAAGATTTATATATATCTAACTGTATTCTATATAGGCCCAGATTAACTCGTTGAAGATGGACTCGCAAAGGTGGAGCCGCGAGCGTGAGCTCATGTCCCACAACTTCCCGGGCCATGAACCACCAGGTAAGCGTTCCTCGCCCCCCAAGTTTTATCTTCAGACACACCATTTTCTCGAATTAGAAGATTTTGATTTTCTGGGACAGGCTATGAACGATCTGCCACTTTCAAGGACAGTCTGCGGACCAACACAGACGGGAACAACCCTAATCACCCGTACCCCTCTTTTCCCGAAAATCAGACCCAAAACCCCGCAGCTCTTCCCTCCTATGGTACTGGGCCGACGCCTTCTTACAGTCATTACCCCGCCACTCCCTATGGTGGGCAGCCGGCTCCCCCGGTTGCTGGAATGACGCTTGCTCCGCCTAATAATCGTAACCGCTATGAGTACATGCCCCCGCCGGATAACCGACCATGGTACGATCATGAGCTAAAGCAATACGTACCACCCTTTAATCCCCCAGAGGACGCCTCATCCGCGGTGCCCAGGTCGCAAAACCGTGACGATCCCCCGGATCCTAACGCTGGCCAGGAACCAGGGTTCTATGGACAAGCCCCCTACCACCCACGAAATTAAGACCTCTGAAGAGACTTGACAAGCCACGAGGTGTTTTTTTTTATCGTGACCCAAAGGCCTTTGGACAAACAAAAGTTACACTACCCAAGTTGGCAATTTCCATGATTCAGCTCAGTCAACTTTGAGGGGCTACCTTCATTTTTATAACCCTACTTTCTCTTTTTTTTTCTTTTTCTTTTTAATTCCTACCTGGCCCGGCTGGGGGGGGGAGTATTTACTTTTATTCACCAATTTTCTGGCGATGCCGGACTTCCACCTCAGCGAACCCGCTCCCCCTAGCTCCAAGCAGATGATATCACTAGAGGTTCGGACCCGGGTTTGCCCCAGGAGAAATTTTACCATGAATGCCATTCCCGGATCGGCTATCCCTGGAATCCAGGCCCAGGAGCTTCCCATTCCGTTTCGGGACCGTCCATGAACCCTAGGGTGCCCTAAATTTCCTTTGCCATACTATTTTGAATATCTAGTTGGTCTACTCTCATTTGGCCAGTCCTTTTTTCCTGGATGATGGACTCAATCTCCCTCAGCCATTTCTCTCTCTTCCTACTTCTCAAGGTACCAATTCTTGGCTGCTTTGTTAAGCCGCGGAGAGGTTATGTACGACGAAGTGGATAAAGCTGGCGAGGCTATGCACGATGGAGCAGATGAAGCCAGCCTTCTTCAGTGCTTTTTTTGCAGGCGTGAAGTTGTGGACAGGTCGAGGATATGGACTTGTGTTTTCTTTTATACGATACATATCCTCTTTGTTTAGGCTCCCAAGGTTTCCATTGAGGTCTGTTTCTGTTTTACTTTTTTGGGATGGCCACTTTGTTCCGGACTTTCCTCCCATCCAGTTGAGGAAAGGAATCGCTATCGCACAGGTTTCAATGAAGGTCAAGTCGCTAGCTGTATTTAAACTAGGATATTCTGGCACCTTGTTTCCTTTTTGTCATATTTCGTCGTCCATGGTTTCAGGTGGGGCTTTATTACTGTCGCCATTATCATCATGTCTTTTATGAATGCTTTACAACCTGTACTTTTTATCTCATTTTCATCCTTTTTTATTTATGGAAAATTCCTCAAACTTGTGGTTTTGTACGCTTCAAATATAACACCTGCTGTGGGGTGGTGGTGGTGCCTGTGGCTTGTCTTACTCCTGGACCGGATTGTGCGCTGCCACCCATTTTGCTCACTCACTCACCTGCCTTCCTGATTGCTTGCTCACTAGCCCGACTTCTTGCTATCTACACATGAGTGGCTAGACGGAGGGGGCGGAAGGACCTTTATCATGGCCTATATCCATGAGTACGAATACCGGGGAGGTGTTTCCATACGGGGCGGGGATGGTGAACCAGCAGAATAATCCCTGCCCTGTACGAAAACATCTTGTGCTTTGGGGAGATAGATGGCGAAGGAAGGAAAGAGCTGGATCCGATCCCGTAATCGTTCTTTCAAAAAAAATTCTGTATAGAGTAACAGAGGCAGTAGCGGTAGTGGCAGCGGTAGCCCTACCCTACCCAATACAACGATTATTCCAGAAGAAAAGGGTTCAAAAACAGCCAAAAATGGAATGAAAAAAAAAATGAAAAAAAGAGAAGAGAATCAAATTCGCTGAAAGTTACATAAACCTGCCCCGTTACAATCCGTCCGCCAATAAAACCGCACCTCCGAGCCAAACCGAAAGAGAAAAGAAATAGAAGGAAGGAAACGTAGGCGAGCCAACGCGCATGCAATATAAATGAAGGAAACGAGGGGGGGAGAAATGAAGATGGAAGAATGGAAAAAAATAAAAGGGAGGTGTAATGGTGTAAACGAGAAGCGAAGAAAACCCGAATTTAAGTGGAAGAAGCACTAATGGGAGCTCCCCGGCCGAGAAGGAACGAACGCCGGTGGAGGAGGACGGACCAGCAATTGGTAGGAGGAAAAAGACTTCCCGCCCTCCCGCTGACCCCCCCCCCCCAGGTCCGGGGGAGTGGGGGTTGTTACTCAGATCGCGATGTTTCGTTGGTGGGTTGGGTATATAATCGGACGACGAAGGGGCTGTACGGTTAGGTAAACGGTGTGAAGGAGAAGAAGGGAACGAAAAACATATTCATCCAGCCAAAACAGTAAACGTGAAGCGTAAGAGTGAGAAATGTATAAATCCCCGAATGAAAGAGAAGAAAGGAAGAGAAAGCCAACTACCAACCCCCATCATCCTCGTCCCCGTCCTCATCCTGTCCCTGACTATTGCCACCCCCACCCCCACCTCCCCCCCCGCCTCCCGGCCCCCCGCCAACACCACCCCTCCTCTTCCCCCCCTTCCTCCTCTCGACAATCATCTTACTCAGCCCATCCAGACTCTTTGCGCCGCGCATGGCTTCCACCTCCTCCACGGCCCTCCACGAATCCATGCCGGCCCCGATGCGCTTCGTGATCTCCTCGATGATGACCTTCCGCCTGGAATAGAACTTGCGCTCTGCCTGGCTGGTGCGCCACTTGGGCCCGTACCTGGCCTCCAGCGACTCGACCGAGGGTGAGTTACTGATGCCCGATTTCCACTCCTGCCAGAGGCCCGTGACAGTGGAGAGAGTTCTGGACATCTTGTACAATGGGATGGAGCCGCCACCGGCGCCGGGTGGGAGGGATGTGGTGGAAGTATTGGAGGTGGATGTAGTTAACTGCGGGGGCTGGGGTTGTTGCTGTTGTGACTGGGATTGGGAGGGCTGCGGTTGCGGCTGGGATTGGGATTGGGATTGTGAGGGTTGGGGTTGTTGGGACTGGGAGGATTGTTGTTGTGGGGGGAAGGAGAGGGCCGCGATGGCTTGTAGTGGTGACTCGCTGGCATTGCTTGCGTTCGAGGTTGAGGAGGATTGGTTGTGGTGGTGGTGATGGTGGCGAATCGGGGGGCTGTAGGGTGTTGGTGGGTTCTGGTTATTTGGGTTCAGGCTACTAAAGGTTGGGCTGTGGTTGCTCATGTTTGAGTTTGCCGTGTTGAGGGCCGGGGGCCCTCCATTGCTGTTCCCATTTATCCCGTTGAGACCACTGAGGCCGTTCACCACCGAGGTTTGGGAGTTTGGAGGCGTCGGGGTGTCGTCGAATGTGACAATCAGGTGAACGTTGTCTTTCAGGAAATGCTTTATTAAAGGTTTTATGATTGTGTCGCCGCGGTGCGTTTTGAGTTTTGGTGTGCTATGCGGGGGTTTAGAGAATAGGTCCCGGAGCAAGGTTACTAACGTCTGGTTTCGCAAAGAAGGAAAAGAAAAATATAGTTAGCGTGTCGATCTGGTTGAGCTAAATTGTGGCGATGACTGGTGATGGCCATAATGGGGAAGGAGCGAGTGGAATGTATAATCCCATAGCGATGACAATAAACTTACATCCCAATTTTGCACCGCTGCTAACGGTAGGGCAAATGTTTCCGACGAGCCCTGTTCTTGAACCCTCATGAACGGTACGCTAGAACTGCTAGCCACCGCCGGTGGTGGGGGTTGTTGTTGCTGCTGCTGCTGGAGCGTCAGCTGTTGAGGCTGCTGCTGCTGGAGCGTCAGCTGTTGAGGCTGCTGCTGCTCCTTGACCCTATTGTGCAGCGAAAGCGGCGGCGGCGGTGGAGCAACATTAACGGGAGGAGGTAATCTGGGTGTTAGCGAAAGATTCGACGACGCCGAAGTCCTCTGGCGTTTCTGGGGTCGCTCAATATCCTCTCCCGCTGCAGCAGGCGACGAGGAGGACGATGATGGCGCCGACGGTGCCGTTGGTAGAAATGGCATGCCGGGGGAGGAGCTGTTGTTTGGCGCGTTGTTTCTGTGGAGGAGCTGTTGTTGTGTCTGGAGGTGGTGGGGGGGTATATGGTTATTGTGGGTGTGATGGTAGTGCCCGTGAGGGTGCTGTCCAGAGGAAGACATTTTTTGCGGTATGTACGTTCCTGTGTGGGGCGCAGGTGGACTAATGTTTGGGCCGCGGGGGGGAAGGGAGGTAAGGTGGGGGGAGGGTTGATGAGGTCGGGGCACTGAGACTGACCGTGACGGGCGGCGGCGGAGACGGTGAGTTAGTATGTCGTGGGTTTGGTAAGGTAGGGTGGATGGCGGTATATCGTTTATGGTGGTAATGGTGGTGGGAGGGTAGGTAGTGGGACGGTGGGTGGTTGAGCGGAGGTGATTGCGGTTGTGATGTGAGTAGACTACCGGTAGCTACACCACAGCGTGTATGTGATAACACTGGCAGTACAGTACAGAATGGGAGCTGTTCCCCCTCTTCGCGGCGGCAATAATAAGCAGCAGTACAGCTATAATACCAACAAGGCAAAACGACCTCTTTCCCGCTCCCCCCTCGCACAGTTCGCGCAATATATATCGTGAACGGTAATAGGGAATAAAAAAAGGCAGAGTCAAGTGATACTATAGTTGTCACTGTATTCTCTCTTTCTCTACCAGTGTTCTCTTTCTCTTTCTCTCTCTCTCTTTCTCTCTCTC